CGTAATACAAATTATTAAATGAATAGGTCCGGACTAGCTCGGATACACAATAATGGGCCAATTTTGAGAACACCCGTTATAAAAGGTGATGGCTCTACAACTACAACTCATCTATAAGTGGGTATATAAAATTGAAGAAAATGTTATTGCTGTCCTAAGGATAACAATTTCGAATTCGGATTTGTATTTTAATTCAGAAAATAATAGGTACCTACCTACCTATATAAATCGCTATATCGAATTGGGAGAATAAATCTAGCCGTCGCTAACTGATTTTGATAAATTCACATTCACATGAAGAATTCAACTCACATTTCTGAGTGATTGTTCAAAACTGAAACTATAAACGACATAAATTGTTTTTCAAAGTTTCTACAAGTATGATGGATGAGTTATAGTAGATTAGATATATAATAATATATTATATGTATATATTTCAAATTACACGCCTTAGAACGGATGGGTAACAGTTGACTTAATAAACAAAAATGTCCTTAGATCAGAAATTCAAGGTAAACTAACGAAAACATTATTATTTAAGTCATATTTTTCGCTAAAATTGAGTTAGCTAAATATATAGTCTCCTCTGGCCTGTGACCCTGTCTATAAATGCTTTGATTGGATTGATATTCATTTTGTTTTCATCATATTGCATCTTTCCTTCACATTTATAATGTCGAAATTATCAAAATAGTTATTTATGATATGTGCTAAAAGTGACATTTTATTTTGTGAGAAGGAAAGTTTGGAACACGACGCCGAAGGCGGAGTGTTCCATCCCTTCGAACAAAAGAAAAAACACCCTCTTTATTCCAAATAGCACCCTGTATATTTTTTGCAATTTTTGCTCTCTACTCAAAATTGCCTTTCCAACGATGTATCACACTTTGTATTTTACATTTGATATGATGAATAAAACGACAAATTGAAATTTGGAATTAAAATCAGTATCATATCCAATTTCTCTTGAATTGTGAAGTTATCATATCATTCTCACGGTTATTCATTCTTGAATGTCGCACACAACCATTGAGAATTATTAACTGTCAAAGATACAAACAAATGTATTCAAATGTTTCCATGGCACACTAAGGTTTTCATTTAAGAATTATTAATTCTTCCAGTTCTACTACATATTTCTATAATAATTTGAAATTTGACGTTCTCTCCATCATCTCGAATGCAAAATTGTTCATGAATCATCAATTATTGAGGAACAAATCATATTATGTACACAAAATATCGTAGTCTACTGCAATTCTTTCGAGTTCAAATTTCAATTTTCGTTTTCTCTATCAAATCAATTGTAGAATGCAAAAAATATACAGGATGCTATTTGAAATGAAGAAGTTAGAGTCGGAAGTGACTTTCAATTTTCGTTTTTCTCAGTTGAAGGTTCCTTGAACGAATTGGATATCATGAAATTTTCAAATTTGTTTCTTTCGAAATGACTGAGATAATCCATTGGAACAGGTATACTGGGAAACCCGGTATAGTATGCTAGGTTCAAAACGTATACTTTTTCAGTGTGAAAATCAATGTGTTCGAGATAAACCCCTGGGTTATATCGGACGTCCTTCAAAAAAAAGCCGTGCCAAGAATTGAATTTTTTTATGTTAAAATGTTCACTAGGTTAACTTCTTGCTATACCTAGAATGCATTAGTTAACTTCAATTTCGTATATAACATCACAAACAGGCATGTAATTCAAAATATTGCCCGATGTAGCCCAGGTTGACGGTGTTAAGTAAGTATGATCTGTTGATACTGAAATACGATTCAATTTTACGTAGGTATTTCATTTATCCAAATTATAAATTATGAAACTATGCCATCCAAGTTTACTTGCATGAAATATGCTTATAACCAGTAGCTACACCTAAATTATTCCGAGGATTATTCCCAACCGATGTTCCAAGTGGTGTTATAATCGCCGGTTGCGATTTGATTTATGTTCTATTGAAGGAGACTACCGGATTCCTTATATTGGTAGTGTATACTATACTACATAGTTTACACGCCTTTTACACTATTACATCTTGATAGTTTATCGGTCTTGTAATTTTCATACCTACCGCGATATCTCTCGAACGTGAGATGATTTAGTGAGTTCTGCCAGGTCTGTTATAGTTAGTAATTAGTGTTGACCGTTGGGAAATATATGTTCTTCGGTATGACCGAGATTAAATCAAAACTATCGGGATTTTTTCTTGTGCTGGATGTTGCAAGATGATACTTAATACCTACATTCCGAGATGTCATGTACCTCAACTTTTTTTTATAGTTTCATGATTATTATTACTGAATTTTCTGAAGGCATTCTTTTAGGAGGAAGTTAAATTCATTGAAATATATATCAGATACACCAAATATCCCCTGAAAATAGTTGCATAATATTGGAATATTATCAATCAAACATTTTATACAATTTCATGACGGTTCTGGTCGCACGAATCTTTGTTCGTTCATTACCCGACTGATTCTCCCCCTACAGTCCTCAGTAGAATTTTGTTCCTCTACAGCTATAGTCATTGTATCTTCTTTCTCAATAATTGTTTTTTCTGTGTGCTTTGTGAAACGATGTAGAACGTTTACGAAAATATTGAACTTGTCTACATGCTTTCAATGTATGGCAAGTGTCACCATAAGTGCAGCAGCAGCATTTCGTTCAAACACGGAAAGATTTCCGTTTATAAATCATCCAACACCGCCAATGTTTGTTAATTTTGTACAAAGACCAAACCTGTCGTGACACAGGGTGTTTGAAGGAACAAGAGAAGGAGGACATGTGCGAAAGCCTGTACTGCCCGAAATAGTAAATATACCAGGACCGTAATAGAGCCAACTCTATATCGGTGATTGTTGTGTGGAATGTGGATATACATTCATTCGTTGTTGAGGAATATGACATACTATTGGTGATTATCTGTAAAGGCATATCACTTCATCGAGAGCGACCTTTTGAGAGGTAATTACTTTCATTATTTGAAAAACATATTTTGAATAAATAATAATAATAAAAGTGCTTTATTGGTTACCTAATTGGCTACCGGCCGAAGTCCTTCAGCCTTAAATATTTTAAATGTATCGAATACTATCAATATATAAAACGATCAATATAAAATAGATTTGTGGCGTAAATTCGACTACATAGTGTGCGTATACAACCCCAACTCAGATAATTGCTCGGATATTTGCGATGAGAACTTTTGCAAAGTATAAAAGAGACCCTTTGGACCTGTGTACTGAATATATGGAAGTCCCCATCAGAGTCTGCGACGGCGAAAATTTCTATGAATAAATGTAGGTACAAACTCTCAGGCTGTATAGCCTCGATTGTAGTTAACTTCGAGGTAAACCTTACCAATTTTGACTTTTCATTATTCTACTGTGTTTGCTAAATATGCATTTGGTATGCATATAAATTTATACATCGATGCATTCTTTGATATGATTTGGCATATACACAATAATCAATTTCATCTATCGAATGTCTGCTGATCAAGATGTAGGAAAGTATAATTGATAGGTAATTATATTCACCGAATAAGTTAAATTAGATGTGCTTCCTCAGTGTTACGTTCAGCTGCATGGTCAATATGTATATTTGTATCTCAAAATTCCTTCATATATCGACCGTTGTCTGACCACGGTCGACGTATAGTCTCATTTGAACCAAGGCCTAGACCAAAGCGTTCTGTCTGTTCCTTCATTCAGTTACCATCAGAGATCAGAGTCAACATTAGTTTCTTGAATTCGAGCCACCAGTTGTGTGTATGTTCTCTGTATATCGAAATGAATACATATTCTAATTTTTTTTATGTTCTGGTTCCCACGAAAATGTAATGTTCAGAGAACATCGTGAGACCCGAGGTGAGAACTGAGGTTATATGCCTCGGGGAAAACCTCCTTGGCATTGTGTTTCAGAGCCTCGCTGTTCGTTGGATGAACGAGGCTTTGGAAAGAGATGTTTTGCTGGTCTCCAAAGTGACCACGAAGGTGTGCAAAGCCACAACTCGACGGGTTAATCTCGCGGGGACTGCCAAGGGAGGAACAATAATTTTTGATATTTCAGAAGAGCATCGTCCATGAAAATATCTATAAAATACAGCCTGATTGCCAACTTTTTTACGGTGTTTCAAAGAAGTGAGTGAGTTTGTGAGCGAGTCATCACCCACGAGACGAATTGCTCTTTTTTGGGCAGAATCCAACAGTTTCAGGGTATTTTTGGGTGCAAGCCGTACTCCAAATATGGGAACAGTATTCCAGTACAGATCAGATTTGTGCCTTATAGATCAAAAGCAGCTGACATCAGGAAGGAAAATAGCTCCTGGCCCGAAACAGAAAACCAATTTTTTGAGATGCACTTTCAGCAATTGATCTGACGTGATTTTCCCAAGAAAGGTTATTGCTGATAGTAATACCAAGCATCGAAATGGATGTCTTCAAAGGTATGTTTACTCCTGACAAGCTTATGTTGGGCACAGTGAGATCGGCTTTTCTAGAAAAAAGGCATCCTTATGTTTTGTTTGCATTGAAATCTACCAAGTTATTGGATCCTAATCCGAGAATAATTGCGAGGTCCATATTTATGTTGGCAACATTTCTTCCTCGTTCGTTTCTGATTTGCCTGGCTGGTATTGGAGCCCTGGAAGTGAAGGCGGTATGGAGGGTACTATCATCCGCGAAGCTGTGTACTGGACATGAAGGTGCTTCCAACAAATCGTTGATGTGGAGTTGAAATAGTGTTGGTGCTAGAATTGATCCTTCCGGAACAACAGCATTTATGATAAGAGAGTCAGATGAAACTTCGTCGACCACTACATGGAGAGACCTGTTTGAGAGAAAACTAGCTAGCAGAGAACATAGCTGGGGAGGCAAGCCATATAGAAGGATGCTTGGCGAGGAGTCCGTGGCGCCAGACTCGATCGAATGCCTTGGATATCAAGTGCCACGGCTGAGGTTTCACCACATTTTTCAATAGATTGCTGATGACTTACCTATTTTTAGCGGCGGCAGCTCTATCCCGCTGCCTCCTATTCTTGAACCAATTCCCCACCTGCGTGGGCGTCAGCCCAGTCGCTTGAGCCAGCTCCCTCTTCTTAGTCGGGTTCGGATAAGGGTCCTGCAGGTACCATTCCCTCAACAAACTCCGCGTCCTCTCCTTGAAGCAGTGCGTCTTCTGCTCCCCGTCCCAAATAGTACGCGGCAACGGAAACTTCTTCCTCACGCGGTACTTATCCACCGGACCCAGAGCCCTACCTCTCAGCTTCTCAGCCTCCTGATAGTGCGCTTCCAGCCACATCGCTTGCAGCTTGCCGTGCGAGCCCTTGGTGAACTTGTGCGCTTCCAAGATGGTGTACAACTCGCGGAAGTTGCCGCTGTGGAAGGAGACTATCGCTCTGGCCCGCAGCACAGCTTCGCTCTTGTTCAGCTCGACGATATTGGGATGAGCGACAGGCAGGGACCACAAGAACCTGGCCAAGCGTTCGATGTCGCCGCTTTCCTCTAGGGTTTCACATACGGCAGCCACTTGGGTGACCGTGAAGTTTAGCGTAGGCAAGGCGAACATAGGGTTGGGTATCACCGGAATGGGTACGTTGATGCCCGGAGACGAAGAGGTGTCCGAATGGGCTGCAGATCCCGCAGAATTCCCGGAACAGAGACCGGAACTCAGTCCGAGAGCCATGTGAGTGGCCAGCGTTGTAACTTATCACTAAACCGTAAGTGTGTGTTTGTCCTTTAGCGCATAACGTCACAGGTGAACTAACTGTCAACAAAGAAGTTGGCGTGAGACTGAGGCTAAACCGGACTGTTAGGCGACCGGTTATTGGCCCGGAAGGTGGAGTCGGGCTGCCATCTGCCAATGGGATGCGAGTTGGAGGGGGGGAAAGGTCGTGGAGGGGCGTGGTTAGTGTCATCGGGAGCGTGGCGTGCTGGTGAAGGCCTTTGTAGCATACACCTAACTAAAGGTGATGTTTAAATAAGTGGTCCTCTATGGCTCGTAGCTCTGTCACCATGATAACTTACCGAGATACGCCTTTTATGTTTATTTCTGGGTCGTAAAATGAGTGGAAATCTTGTTTTGCTTACCGTGTGCGGCGGTCGATATCTTTATTAGGCAGTTGTTGGGAGTTGAGAGGTTGCTGAAAGGGTGTAGCGAACTGAATTGGGGAAAACTGTTCGATGTCGATGTACTGTATGGATGCGTGTTAACAGGATCCTGGCGTTTCGCAGGATATGTAGCTATATATAGTCTGAATTGGATTTGATGTTTACAGAGACGAGAAAAATGAATTTGGATGAAAATAACTGGATCACCCGATAATGATGGATAATGCCACAACCTACGTGAATAACTTGATTTTCTAAATACTCGAACCGAAGTAAAGGAACTTGCCTGATATAGAGGCGTTTTCCATATTTTTTTATGTTGTAGAAAATTGCAAAAAAAAATTTTTTTTCGTTCAACAAGTTATAATTCCAAATCGAACCTCGCGCTTTTGAGGACTCAATGATCGAGATACACTCTGTATACATGGCAATCATGGCATTGGTGCTATATTAATTCCATCAGCATATGCATTATCCATACTTTCATAATGAGTAGGTACAGTCGCATTCAAAAAATAAGCGTATATACAAGTATATTACAGAGAGAAATTAACGTCATCCTATTCTGCATAAAACGGGCTATGGGAAATGATTGTTCACCAAATGTTGACAGTAAAGTTGTCATAGGTTCTTGAAAACACAAAGCATTGGCTAAGTCAGTTTTACACAACTACCTATATAGAACTAGAATCCCGAAATCCTCTCTCTTTTTAATAGGTACTTGTACGCATTTTTATTGAATACGACTGTACATACGTATGTGACGTAATTTTAGGACACATGTTTATATAAACTTATTTATTTGCTAGAATGTTACAGGGAAACACCCCTTGAATTTTTTCGGTGTAATCTAGATACACCCTGTATATCTGTGATTCCTGTGGTGTACTTATAGATATACCGAATTTCACCAAAATTTAATGTATAGGTATAGGAATTATGCTATAGATTGAGGACCTTCTCTATAGAAGATGCCATTACCAACTAACATTGCATTTCAACTAGGATATATCATACCTATATCTAGAGTATATCGACACAGCATCTGTTCATATTTCAATGAAAAAATTAGATCTTCACAATATCGGTCGACCTAAATCTATATATCGAAGGGGGTCACCTTTTGTATGATGAGTATACGCGCCGTAACTATAAAAATTGACTTTTAGAGTATTCGAAAGAAAAACAAATCCCAATAGATATCCTAGGTACCCATCTCAGAATGGAAAATGAGTCTATATTGATGGTTAAATACAAATACAAACATCCCCTTTTTTGAAGGACAGGCCATAGATAGACAGTGACTTCACTATTTAGACAGACTGCTCCATGGCGCCAACTTTCAACATCCGACAGCCGTCAAAAAAGAAAAAAATAGGGAGACCGATCACGGCCGCTTTGGTTACATCAAGCCAGAAAGCGAGTGTCTTCTGTCATCCTCATCCAGCCGCTGAACATCTAGAGTGCGACGCCTCATCCAGTCAGATCGCCTCGTTAGTCGTTTATTATAGGCCTCTGATGTTTTGACGTGTTTATTTTGGGTTAGGTCGAACGCTGTCAATTTGCTGGGTCTCTTAATTACTTCTGGTGGGTTCTTATTCGAGAGAGATCTAGGGAAGTCTGTATAATATTTAAAGTGAATTTGTGCGTTTTCACAAAATGCATGTGCACAGATTTTTCGCCTATATACACAAGCTCGTTTGCGCACTATTTTATGTTCATTCGATGATATGGGCTTTATACTTAGCTATTATTGTAACAAAACGGTCCTTGTCGTTTTGCTGAGAGAGTACGGGATTCAGAATAACTGGTATTTTTCAATAAACGGGATTTTAAATAAATATCATTAATTCGGTTATTATTTACTGTGGAACAACTCGGCCTAACGGCCTCGTCGGACAATTTCACGTCGAGTGCAATAAACATTCACTTTTTGCACTTGTTGCATAAATAACTATCAAAATTTCATTACGGTCCTAGCTTCTCCTTTCCTCCTATATACCCTCTACATCCTGTATACCTATCTCAAAAACGGAAAGAAAAATATAATGAACTTAAATCTACTCAATATTGAAAAAAATCTGATGGAAAATGTATTTTATTTCAATAGTTATTCATTTGTCATATGGTAAGTTTTAAATTCTTTCGCACTCAGAATCCGAAATACATTACAGAGTACAACCCAATCAATTTTGAGTACTCTGATCCTTCAATAAATTTAATTTGTGGGATAAGCGTAAGGTATCAGCAAAAAAGCTGTAATTCGGAAAATTTTAGAGATAGGTAAATCAATGAATAAAAAAACAGAAAGCTCGCAAAAGAAGCCTCTTTTATATAGTATAGGGTATAAGCGCACTTTCTATAATTATGCTATTACTCATTTAACATACAGGGTGAGACAAAAATTAAGAATAAATCATATGGTTCGAGTTATTCCACCACCATCAAGGAGGCTTTGAAAAAATTTCCACCTCTTTATTTTTTTTTTAAAGACAAATGCATTACCTACCAACAAATAAAAAATAATTCAAAATCGGCCTACTATTTTTTTTTAAGAAGATAGGTCAAATATCAAGTGCTTCACTTTTTTTGGAACTGAGTGTTTATATCTGAGAACAAAAAATCTTTCAAGAACTATGGTTTTCTTGCCTGGAGACTGTAGATGTATTAATTTGGAATATTTGTTTGAATCGAATTAATGATGATTCCCAATTAATTAATTTCTATATTCTATCAATTTGCTCGATGAGTAAAAGGTTCCATAATTTGATATAATATTCCAGGTTTACCTAAATATAGTGAATTGAAAGCAGCGATGGAAGATAACAAATGTTTTTTTTTTTATTTTCGTCAAGTACTGATGTTAGTTCGAATTGTGTTAAATTGACTGCTAAAGGAAAGGTGTCCAAGGAATTATAAGTGCTAGCAAGTAGCATCAAGACAAAATAATTGAACTCTTGGAACCAGTGCCTATTCATCCTCTAATTGTTCACGTCGAATGTCGTCGTTTGTACGTAAATCCGAACAAGATGAAGAATGATCTCAGGTTCAAATCAGATCCTGATAGAGAAGCATCAACTAGTAGCAGCAGCAACAGAGCTGACGACATTCGCATTCAAAGATAATTGCTTGTTTTGTGGCCAATTCATCAAGGAAACTGAGAAAATAATTAAATCTGCAATTTTACCAGTACGAACTTTCGCATTTCGACAAACTATTATTGATTTGTGTGATGCAAGAAACGATTTTTGATCATCAAATGTAGTGTGAATTCCTAAGAAATATCAACATGATATTCCCAATGAGCAGACAAAGTTAGCAGGACGTCCTTCTGATAAAAATAAAAAAGATACCTTTTTCGAAATATGCAGGTGGCTCAAGGAAAATGATGAACCAATTTCAGTTCAGGAGTTGCTGGACAAAATGGCAGAGCTGCTACCAGAAAATATCGAACCTCACACTGTTCGTCGTATGCATAAAAAATTTGAAGAATATTTCTCGGATGACATTTATTGGGACAAACAGGTAGAGCTAATATGATCGTAACAGGGAAAACAGTTGCCAATATAATTTGTGATTATCAGCGACAAAAGTGTTCAGAAGATCCAGATGCTGAAAAATTTCGGATAGTTGAAGCAACAGCTAAACTGATTAAGAATTTAATCAAGTTGATGAGAACGTCCTTTTTCGTGAGTTTTATCCTTCACCAGAAGAAATAAGTTGCGAGCAGGAAAATGATAAGCTTTCACCCGACATTTTGAAAACATTCTTGAATATAATAATCAACAAAAAATCCCCAAGTTTGGAGAAGAATTCAATTGAACAGGCACTAATGCAAGCTGCAAGGCCACGATCTATTTATAATATAAGTTCGATTCGTCTAGATGTTGGTGTGCAGTATCATCAAGATTTTCGATCTCGGTTACTTGTTGATGAACTCCATGGGTTTTCTGTATCATATGATGACGTACAGAAGTTCTTGCAAAGCTGAAGTAGTTGAACCTTGTGGAACCAGATGTAAATGTGCGAACGTTACGGAATTTTTTTACCCAGTATTGTGCAATAATTGTTCGGGAAGGTACCAATATTCCAATCGAGGAAGTTGAAGATAATGAATGAATATCTGTTACATGCCAAATATGCCATTTTTATTAGATTTATGATTTATACGTAATAACGAATAAACGAATATTGGAGCCTCTGCATTTTTATTTTGCACAAAGTTATCATTCTATATTTTCTCATATGTGTTATTCTATGCATTCTGAACTGAGAAAAGCAGAAAGAAATTTTGTGGGAATTATTTCCACCTGAGACCATTTTTTATCGCATATCTACTACACTATTTTCATGTGTGTATATAGCATATAGCCTCCAACATTCACCAACACTATACCTTTTCAACTTCAATTTCGGAATCGGTAAGTTATATTTCGGAAAAAGTAATCTCGATTTCAGAATTGGTTAGTTCAATTTCAGAAATGGTAAACTCAATTTCAGAATCGGTGAGATGAATTTCAGAAAAAGTCCATTCAATTTCAGAAATGGTAAGTTGTATTTCAGAATTGGTAGGTT